TCAAACAACTTCTATACAACGAAAGGAGACTGCGACCACACAAAAGGCCACAACATCTTGGTCTTCATATATTCAATTAGATCGTAGGTTCGTTTCGGTAGTTACGACCTAGTACTAGGATGATAACATCCGACTTTTTCGAACTAAGTCATCGAAATGCAAGCGAGAGCCGTGCTCCTGAGATTATCAAATATCGAGAAAGAAATCATATTAACCTAAAAGGAGATTTGTCAATACTTCATGCACCTCATTTATTATCAGAGTATAGAATAGTACCAGGAGATGATTTAAAAAATATTAACCTTCGATCCAAACGTAGGCGGATGCAATGATCGCAAAGAAAAGGAGAAAGAGAATAAAAAGAAACGTCTCAGTATTGTTGGCTGTAATTGTCTTGACGCTGAACATGATTGTTTTAAGAAGACGCCCTTGAGAAGTGCTCAATCCAGTACGGATAACAAAGCATAAAAGTCCGCCATCGGAAGCTAAAAAGCAAATTATTGAACTTAGGTTAAGGTTAATAGGTGGGAATAAATACTTATTCTTTTTATATAATATTAATAGTCTTGGTGATTCAAGAGAAATATTTGTATCTGGATATTTGTGCCGATGTGCAAGCAAAGGTATTTTTAAACAGGAAGCATTCAGGCATCCGAATCATACAACCATGTCCAGTGAGATTATATAAAAATAAATATTTAATGAGTCTCTGGTGGCGTAGTGAAGCTCCTCTAAAGAGGCTAAGGCAAACTAACTTAGGAGATTTACTGGAGTAAGTTGCTTTGATACTACACGGTTGGATAACCGAGATTTCAAAGCAAATCAATAAGACTTGAATTTATCTGTGAATGCTCTTTGGAATAAAAATGTAAATCGAGACATCCTTGGAAAACATATATTGATTATGATACTACTCCTTTAAAGGGAATATGGAAACTAAGAGCGAGTCTAGATGAGAAAGCAAGTTTGGGCTTTGAATAGACTAACAACCTATTCTTGTAGAAAACAACAGTAAAAGTAACATCTAACCCATGTTCTCATAGGCATACAAGACTAAGGCAATCCAAAAACCAAGAGCTTTTAATATAGAATAATCTTTCAGCACAAGGATTTCAGATAAAAATCAGGAAGTAATTCTACTATCTAAACTATTTTCTTTTTCCCTAATACATTTATATTCCATTCTATTCTATTTTAAGTTAAGAAAAATTGATACAATAAGTCCACGTTTGTTTTTTGGTCAGAAAAGTAGGTCGTGATAATCTTCAATTCAATCATAGGTGGTGAAAATGGATTCTTAAAGGACCTACTCTTTATTGCAGTGGCAGATTTGGAAGGCGGGGTTGACTGGACGATTTTTGTGCCACCAAAGAGCACCTGGGCCTTATGACCTTCATCAAAGGTAAACTCTTCGACACCCTTCAAGGCTTCACAAGGCTCCTGAAAAGGAAGGATCAATAAGTTAAATAATGAATCACTGCTCAAGAAATGTGAGAAATTTATTACTCGAGAATAGCACCTTTCTAAAAAAACCGACTCATAAGATGATAAGCACAATTCTGCATCCCAAACAGTTTTAGAATAATGGCTAAGTAAATTTTGCATCAAAATTATGGATGTAAGGTGGTATTTATCCTCCTTAGAGAGGAAATAAGAAAATACGTTTCATGGTAAAATTACTATTCATGCCAACAGTGGATCACTCATCTATTAATAATTAATTAACGTTGGACGGAATAAATGAGTAGGTGAACAAAGTATTATTGAATTCATAATTAAAGGTGTGAATTTGAAGATGGACGGAGTATTCAATACCATGACTGAATAATAGCAGCTTATAGATATCATTGTATCTTATAATTGCGCCGTAGCATTTCGTAAAATGGGATGGTAATAATCAATTCGAGGACCATAATAAACTAATTTAAAGCGTACTCAAGTATTAAACAAAGAAAAACAAATATTTATAACTCCAATAATAAAACTCTACGTTACCTTTGTTACAGGAACAGATTCACCTGTAAGGGATGATTCATCCACTATACAAGTGCCCCTAATGAGAAGTAAATCACAGGGCACGATAGCTGCATTCGGGAGAGACACAATATCGCATGCTACCAAGGAATCACTCATAAGGCGAATCCACTTCTTGTTCCTATAAACCTAAAGAAGTTAATACAGAAATGATTTTAACCCTCCTAAATATGCGAAGTTTCATAAATTTTTAATTACAATGAACTTAAAGAATACCGATATA